CATATATTATATAATTTCATATTCCGAAAGATATTAATTCATTATCAATAAGATGAAAATATTCTTTTAGTAATATCAAAAAATAGTATCAAACTATACATTTGGAAAATGATTTGAACTCCCAAATTGTTGATAAGGTTTCTATTACATCTATATTTATATTAATATAAAAGGAAAATCACAATAACCATTCATGATGGTGTAAATTTTATTTCTTATTTTGATGTTATTAATATATATTTTATACCAAAAAAATCATATAATTTATTTTCCCATTTTATGTTTCATATTTGTTTATGTAATTTTTACAGTTTTTTCATTTGAACATGACAATTTTCCCACATGAATCAATTCAATCTTTGAACACGATAGTTTATCCTTTTCATTTTTAACATGAGTGTAAGTCAACACGCTATTAAAAATAAAGGAAAAGGTAAACCCCTCACATCAAATTAATACAATATATATTAGGTTTAACTAGTTTAAATTGTTAAACCATCTTATTAACCTCATAATTTTATATATAGTTAATAATTAATTATAGAGGTAAAATTTTATATAACTAATATAATTATATTAAAGTAATATATTTCCGCCTTTTTGGACGAAATGAAAATAAAATATTAGAGTAATGTTCCATTTTTAATTTTAAGTGAATCGTCCAATTTACTTTTTGAGTTATAACTAATTAACTGAGTTTAACACAGTTGGATCGAAATTTCTTCAACTACTCATTTAATTAAAAATAGACATGAGAATCATTTTCTAGTCACCAATCGAACCCATATGCTCACTAATTTCCCCAAAACATTGCTTTCAAGACTGAACAAATATTAAGTTTGTTTTTATTTCTACAATATTTGCCGCCATTTGGCTTCCTATGGAACAACCTCATCACAAAAGTGACATATCATACACAGATGTCCACCATCGGTTAGAGACGAAGTTTGTTATAATGAAATATATTTTTCTAGTCAAATCTTTTACTAATTTTTTAATGAGAGGAAGAAAGCACAATTCTGGACGTTTCTACTCTATTACTCATAAACTCCGTTAACTCTAGAAACTTTAATATACAATACTTTAGGAGGACTAATATCCACGAATTAAAAGGGTTTTGTTAACCTATGACTTAATGACATCGGTTAAATATTACACACAGAGAAAACTTTTATTGAAAGTAAGAATGACTGCATCTTTTACTTTCTAAAACAAAGAAAATTGAATTGAGCGTTTGAGACTCTTTTCTTTCTTTCTTTCTTTCTTTTTTTCTTTCGTCTCTTCTTTATTTTGAAATAAAAGAATGTGAGTAATGATGATAATGGGTATACTTTACAATGAAAAAGCTAATGAAAAGGCTAACAGTGTTCGGCGGGTTTAACTTGTTTGTAAGTGGTGATTATAATTGCTTAATTAGTGGGTCAGATTTTAAGATTACTACAGTGGAAGATGGAAACGAAGTCCTTCTCAAAGTTGATTGAGAAGAATAGTAATAGAATCAAATATAAATAAGCAGTTGACAAAGAAGGTTCCAGTTAACACAAATGTTTAAGACGGAGATTAATATTCATCCTAATGTTGCGTGTTTAAGATGAAATTGTCAGAAACGAAAAATAGTCATTGAAGGTGACGGAGTATTTGGAATATTTCAAATTTATATGACGCTTCATTGTTTTAAAATATTTAATAAATATTTAGAAATTATATTGTATAGGTTTATGATCTATCATTTTTTATAATTTGTCATTTATCATTTTCTTATACTACCATATAAAGTTAAACAATTAATACATAATTCCATACGTAAAAGTTGATTTTTGTTGTTGTTGTTGAAGTGCCTACATAAAAATGATTTGAAGTATATGAAAGTGGGTAACGATTTAGGAATTAGGATGGATTAGTATTTAGGTGGGAAAATGGAAAAATAAAAATTACACATTATGTAGTTATGTAATTTAGATACTTTTTTCTCTTAGTGAATAACTCTGTAACTTCATGATTTGCCTAATTTTTTCAGCAACCATGATTACTTGAGTGTGGAGGACGAGTGACACTTCTCTCTAATAATGGAGAGATAAGTGGTCTGAAAAACATAAGAAAAATAAGATACATTGACATTTATATCTTTTTTAAATAAAATTATAATTTTATCCTTAAAATACACACAAAAAAGTCACATAACTTTTCATTAATGAAGATGAGTCTTACTCGTCGAGGACATATTCAAATTAATTAGCCTTTGTTTGGGAAAGTCTTCATGCTAGTTAGGGCCATTTGGAATGTCTAATTAGATTCATTGGGATAAAACAAACATATAGATGATAGTGCAACCAATAAACACATACATAGATAAACTAGTAGGAGTTGCTCTAGTTTAATGAGATGCCTCTACTTTGAGTTATTGATAAAAGAATCATGTTCTATAGTGAAACATTACAATATCTTGAGTGTTCTTAACTTCTTATACTCATTCTTATGGAAATAAAAATATTATTATTTATGTTTTCGGAATGTGACACTCTTATTTTATGAATTTTATTCTTAAATAAGAAAAACGAAAAAAAAAATGAGAACATGTAGAATGAAACAGGTGATGTTTAATTTGATTAATAATAAGATAGGTTGTAGGATCCAAATAAAAATACGAATGATGTTTTCCATTAGGGAAAAATGTAGATATTATTCTTATTTCATAAGGAGTTCTAATAAATTATAAAATAATGTGTAAGGCCAAATAAGAATAAATAATATGTGGTGTTTGGCATTTGGATTGATAGAGCCCTACTTTATCTAAGATTTTGCTAATTTCGTTTTACTTTAAATTATGTTTATCTTATTAGTTATTGGTTGAATTGTTATTATCTTATTGTTTATAATCATTTTTGTCTAGAATTTAATCCTCCACGATAAGCATATCCCCTTTGGTGTGTAACATTATTGCAAGTATTCATTCTTTTCTTTCAAGCTCACATTTTCAAATAAACTAACACCGATATATTCTAATACAATAACGAAAATCTTACATATACATATCGGTCGATCCCAAAAACACTATAGTAGTTAACTAGATGACTACTACTACAACTAAGGTAAAAATATAAGTACACCAAATTATATTTTATGCCCTACACAGATAGATATACAAATATACTAAAATACATTAAAATATAAGTAATTCATACTTTTGAAATTTTGATAACAATTTTTTTTTAGAGAAGGAAGGGAATGGAAAACAAAAGGAAGGGAAGAGGAAAACAAAAGAAAGAAATGAAAGGAAGAAAAAACAAAAGAAATATAAATAATACTTTAAAACTAGAGTGACGAAGGTGTGAAGAGGGAAATCAAAAAAAAAATTGACAGAAGGGAAAAGGAAAGGGAAGAAGGGAAAGAAGTTAAAAGGTAAAGAAAGTCTGTATTCAACCTGTCTTTTTAAAAGGTAAGGAAAGGGAGAAGTGTGTTTAAAATAAATGATAATCCATTTACTCCAAGAATAATTTTTTTTAAAATTAGGGTTCTTCATGTTGGAGTGGGTTCTGCAGTGAATTCTAGACCTACTAATTAACCCGTAATGGGAGTGACAACTAACTCTACCGCTATACACCATTTCGTAACGAGGAAGGATGACAATATTGACAACACAATCGATTATCTAGATGCATACCTAAAGAAAGTTCTCAATAGAATATAAATCGGGAATTGAATTCATTAAAAGACTAATAATCTTTTAGAAAATCAAATGTCATGCCGCTATATATCTAGACTCGAAGCAGTATTTCCTAAGACTAACATGTCTACCAAATTCATGAACCGGTTTACTCAAACTTATAACCTTTGCCTTTTGCCTCGAAAATAAATGATGAATAGGGCAGAAAGCAAACTTAACATAACAACAATTGAAATCAGTAAAATAAGAACAAAAAAGAGAAAAAATATATACATACCTAATGAAAAGGGTTGACTTTGTTATGAGATTTGTTAGTGTATATATTCGATATATAGTCATATCTGTTGAGGATGCTTGAAATATATTATTAGATTAGTCTCACATCGGCTAGTATTGAAATAGAGTAGAGTAATCAATGTTATATATTGAACTCAAGTCCCTTATTGTAATGTGTACCAGATATAAGCACCAAATAGAAAGCCCATGGATGTGATAGAGTTTGTAATCCTTATTCTCTAATAATATCTTGTTAGCCGTTCAGCGCTCCCGGGGACGTAGGCACAATTGGCCGAACCCCGTTACCAAATTCTTTGTTTCTTCTCTTCTATTTATTCTATGCATTATTTGATTGTTTTGTGACCAATGTTGCGCAACGACCGCTTCCGCAGCACCAACAATATCAAATGTTTATAAATAATTCAAATAAAATAATAGTAAATTTTTAGATTAAAATTAAATAAAAAGTTGAATTTAAAACTTATAAAGAAGAGAAAGTTTCTAAAAAACTAAAAAATATAGATTTCCCATGACAGATGTCAAAACTTTTCTAATAACCATACTCACAATTATTATATATTACATATTATATCATACACATTTGCTATGTATTGTCTCTTTAATAATTTTTATATATATATATATATTCTCAACTTATATTTTATTATCGTTCTAACATTAATTTTATAATTATACACTCATATGAATTCATATCTTTTATTTTTATAACACAAATTTTATTACATAAAAAAATGAGAGTACAAGAATGAATTAAAATGAATCTAAATAGTGATTATACATCAGAAAAGGAATGATTATAAGAAACCAAGTTAAGCACCCCCATGCACTAACTATCACAAAAAATGAAAATTGGACATGCTCTCAGCAAATATAGAATTTGGAAAAACACATCACAGTGTAATCATTAATTATAAAATGAACATGAGGATGTTTTACCCTCATTAAATCTTAGATTTAGACATTAGTTATAAAGAGTGAAGTGTACAGAATTTAATGCTGAAAATAACTTACTAAACTGTTAACTATCATACTGTGTCAGATTGCACCCAGAGTTCCCCCAAACACTTCACTAGGGAAATAATGCATGCATGATATACTATATTGTATACCAAAAATGCCATAATTCCTAGCTAGAGATAGAAGATCCTGAGAGAAGTGTTTGAGAGGAACTCAAGGAGATAACTGACCTGACCTAAATATTTTCTCATCATGTTTTAATTTGCTTCAGTTGTGATGAAATAATAATGCAAGCAAAATACAATATTTATATGACAAAATCTCAATCTTTTTCAAAGAATGGAAAAAGGCCCTTTTGAGATATTCTTGGAAGTCCATGCTTGTAAACAAATAGTGGGGATCAGTTGTCCCAAAATAATTACATTCTCATATCCCAAGCTAATGATTTTTATCCAAATAATATAAAAATATTATTTTGTATTTTTATAAAAAAAAATTAATGAATTGTCACTTTTTTATTGGACCGAGACAGAAAATTGAGACATGTCTGGAACATGTGATCGCTCTTAATAAACAAGACCTTGTCATTGAATTTGGCCAGGATTGTGGGAAAGATTATGGCATGGCCGAATGAGAATATAACATTGGAAGTGCTTGGCCATGTCACCAGCTTTTATGATAATCTCTTTCGACTTGTCCAATTCAATCTTTTTCATTTGTTCTTAGACACCAATTGTTTGAGCATAGAATATAATATTAAGCTAAAAGTTGTTTTCATTAGCTTATGCTCACTTTTAATTTAATCAGAATTAACTAATGCGTAAATAACATCTATAGCATTCAGAGTTCAACTTTATATGAGAATACTTTATCTTGGTGACCACGATATTTGCACAGAATGTAGAGAAGAAGAAAAATGTATGGTTGTGCTTATGTAAAAAAATACCTGAAAATGCAACGTTCAATAATGTTTTCTTTCCCTGGTTAAAAAAGAGAATATGAATAAAAAAGTGTACTAATGTTTAGAATGCACCAGCCGGGAATCGAACCCGGGTCTGTACCGTGGCAGGGTACTATTCTACCACTAGACCACTGGTGCTTTATTTACCACATATAAATTATTATATACTAGTTAGGGTACTCCTCTATAACTTGTAATATTTAGTAAGAAAAGGATCATTTGGAGTAATATTTAGCAGAAAAATAAAGAAACTAATAGATTTTCTTAAGCTCAACACTTCTCTACAAGGATCTATCCGAGTAATATTTTATTGCATGGTCTAAATCAAATGACCATAACCTAAATAATATTGTAAAAAGATGTTTCAAGAAACAAATAAACATTACAAGTGTTACGTGTGTTGTTTGGAATAAGTGCAACATGCATCTCAATCTTCCTTCTCAACATTATTAGTTCACCATATCAATCCAATTCTCTCTTCCTTTTAACTAATCATATTTCATTTCTTCTTCCATCAATTCCATTGATAATGGAGAATTCACCATTCACTACTCCAAGAGGATCATCATCAAGCATAGGAAACGCAGGAGATCTTGAGGTTAATGCAAATCTCACTCTCAGCGATAAGCTAAGGGTTTTCAAAAGTTCCACCTTCGATCCCAATGCCTATGTTGCCACCAAATCCCGCAGCATGAATGAGAAGGTCCCTTTCATTTTTCTCTCTAACTATATACATCACTCACTTCTATGCATTTCGGACAAATGGGTCTACTTTTTTTAATTCTAAATGGACATTTATTTTACATTAATGACTCCAAAAATGATATATATCTTTGTGTGCTTACGTTTGCATGTGTATGTTGCATGGTTTTAAATTATAGTCACAGACTCCATAACCTTAAGGTGCTGGATCATTGTGGGAAAATGAAGCCAATACAAATTACTGATGTGATCATATGGTTTTGGAAAGTCCGAAAGCCATAACATTGCGGCTTCAATTGTTGTTGCAGACATATATTTAAAGACATGGATACTATATATGCTAAATATAGCTGATTAGTTTAGTTGTTTGAAAGTGTTTTGCTTATAAGCACTGTACTCATGCCAAAAAAAAACTTGTATGTTAGTTAATCCAACAATAACTCACAACATTTAATAATCACAAGATTAAAACTACTTTTCATGCTTAAATGTGTAATTGTAACTTCAATTGTAATATCCATGTTGTTCTTATGCAATGTGTTAGTTGGGCAATGAATGTACCAAGTGCCAACATGATTCTTGGTAAATAAATTCACATGGTTATGGAAAAAATTACACCTTTTTTCTTTTCATAATCACTGTTTGCACTATTTACAGGAGATAAGACATTTGTGCGCATATCTTGTTGACCTGAAGAAGGCTTCTGCAGAAGAAATGCGCAAAAGTGTTCTTGCTAATTACTCAGCCTTCATAAGGTGAGAGCACCCCCTGAAACAGTTTTGGTAGTTTGAAAGTGCTAATTAGATATATTGGATATGGAATCTTTGCTGCAACATTTTCAATTTCTTATTATGTGTCATATCGGCTTAAGCTTAATTTCTTATTCTGCAGTAGTTTCCTTGGTAAGCTTAGATACTTAAGCTTAAAAGCAAGGTCTCAAGTCCAATAATGTTTTTCTAACTTAAACATGCCTCCTTACATAAAAGCCTCTACTTTTAAATATAGACCAAGTAACAATTGGTAATCTTACTTTACATCATGTGAAGGATCATACTTTAGGCCCTTTAGTAATCCAAGTATGAGCACCATGTCAAAGATCCATTTAAGAAAGTTAAACTTTCGAACAAGGGACCAAAAATGGTTTTCATAGTTCCACCATAATCTGTTAAATCTATTATATCAAGTGCTTGATTGCCTTTACATAAGAAGTTAAGGGTATCCACTATCTCAGTATCTGCAAGCATGGTTATGATTGCTAATGGCATCTTTAATTATATGCAGAACATCCAAAGAGATTTCAGATCTTGAAGGGGAGCTGCTTTCTATGAGAAACCTTCTATCCACTCAGGCTGCTTTGGTTCATGGTTTAGCAGAAGGGTGCCAACTTAGTTCCTTGATTACCGGAAACGAAGATTCGGACATGGATTATATACTAGATGAAAAAACAGACCTATCAAAGACAGAAAAATGGCTAATAGGATATCTAGAAACACTTGAAGTTCTATTAGCAGAGAAAAGGGTGGATGAAGCAATGGCTGCTTTAGAAGAAGGAGAAGGAATGGCGGAAGAAATTAGTGAACAGAGAACATTGAGTGGAAGTTTATTCCAGGCATTACTAGATGCAATTACTGAACACAGACAGAAACTAGCTGATCAGCTAGCAGAAACTATATGCCAGGCATCAACTAGGACTGCAGAGATTCGCTCAACGGCATTAGCATTGAAAAAACTCGGGGACGGTCCACGTTCCCATACATTACTACTTCATGCTCACCAAGAAAAGATGAAGCGTAGCATGCAAAGTCTTGAATCCACCTCTTCTGGAGGAGTAGGGGCGTACACTGCTACCCTTTCACAGCTTGTCTTTTCAACCATTTCACAAGCAGCATCAGATTCTTTAACAGTGTTTGGTGAAGAAGAACCTGCATTTACTTCTGAGCTAGTAACGTGGGCCGTTCGACAGGCTGAGCAGTTTGCTGTTATCCTTAAGAAACGTATTCTGGCCTCAACAGCCGCTGCAGGAGGTCTGAGAGTTGCCGCTGAATGTGTTCATGTCTGCTTGAGTCACTGTTATCTTTTAGAGGCTAGTGGGTTGGCCCTTTCTCCAGTTCTGTTAAAATATTTTAAGCCCTTCGTTGAGCAAGCAATGAATACAAATTTGAAAAGAATTGAACAAACTAGTGCTGCACTAGCTGCTGCAGATGATTGGTTTCTTGCTTATGCACCAATCGGTAGGAATTCAAGTGCCCTACCTCCAGTTTCTTCTTTGAGTAACTTAACTTCACTCCAGCCAAAGCTTTCAAGCAGTGCTCACAAATTCAACTCAATGGTTCAGGTAATTACTTATATCTATTTTCAGTGTTATCCTAGCTTGAAGCTAGACATTCTTTAGCATCATTTCACTGCTCTTAGAACTTGAAAGTTTTTCTGAGAAAGCATTGATGAGTAGCTTATATTACTTTGAAAAAATTCATTTATGTCTGTCACTCTCTCGGTTAGATTTTTTATAATACCAGTTTTTCATTGTGTACATAGGAACTTTTCGAAGATGTAGGACCTCTTGAAGTTCTGCAATTAGATGGTCTTGCATTTGAAGGACTTCTGCAAGTGTTCAGCTCCTATGTGAATTTGCTAATAAATGCATTGCCAGCTACAGCAGTAACTGAGAACCTGGAAGGTTCAGGGAGCAAAATTGTTAAGATTGCCGAGACAGAACCACAACAGATAGCATTGCTGGCTAATGCAATATTGCTAGCAGATGAGCTGCTCCCGCGTGCTGTTGTCAAGCTTTCATGTAGCACCAGAGGGGATGAATCTCATAGAAGAGGATCGGACAAACAACAGCGGCTTCCAGAACAGCGTGAACTGAAGAAAAGGCTTCAGCGCGAAGTTGATCACCTACGAGACAGCTTCTGCAGGCAACATGCTCTCGAACTGATCTTCACAGAAGAAGGGGATGCGCGACTGAATGCATTGGTATATCTGAGTTTGGATGGTAAAGAAGAGCAACCTGAATGGTTCCCGTCTCCAATTTTTCAGGTAAGATGTGTAACAAATGGATGCTTCCTTTAGTGCTATGTCATGCCTTTGAATCAGAATAATACAATAGTATAGTATGCTTTCCCTAGAATAATACTATAGTATGCTTTCCCTTTAGCGCGTAGACACATGTATTGGTACAAGCATATTAGTTTTTCTTAACTGGTATCATTGCATTATTTTGTTCAGGAGCTTTTTGCAAAGCTTACCCGTGTGGCAAGCATTACAACAGATATGTTTGTAGGAAGGGACAGATTTGCCACTGTTTTATTGATGAGACTCGCCGAAACAGTTGTCCTGTGGCTTTCTGATGATCAAGCCTTCTGGGATGAAGTAGAGACAGGTCCAACACCTTTAGGTCCTCTTGGCCTTCAACAGGTAGTTACTTTTAGATGAATTGAAAGAGTCCTTTGTTGTGAGTGACTCCAAATTGCATATTTTGAATTAAAGCTTTCTTGATGCTATATAGAAAATTGCTAGAGTATTAGAAGAAGCTATTTAGAAGGACAATTTTAGAAGCCTT